GATGATTTTCTCGCGTTACATTTAGATGCCATAAAATGTACTTAATTTATTGTCACTCTTCGTTCTATGAACCAAGTCTCAAAATCAAATCTACATTCATAAAAGTGTCCTGCTAGAACTATGTTGAGCCAAACGGACGCCTTATGGGATGTTTTGTATACTGGCGAGTTCATACAAAAGATACGAGAAATACAAAAGACATTCACGATTCGAAGAAAAAATAGAACAATTCGCACAAACTATTCCCCTATATCGCATTCTTTGTGTATATAGGTGTATTTTATATCGCACGCAAATAAACAATTTGATTTGGCCTGATCACAGTCAGTGAATATGTTTTGACGCCGCATTTAGCATAACTTAAATAATATCACTGCGGGGGAAAACAAGAAAGTGATCTTCACCCGCCGTCACCACCGAATTTAATGTCCCGAGCTTTTTCGGTTTTCGTCCATACGCGCAGATCATGGAGATCGGATTGTAAGATCCGGAGCTACATTTTATACAACAGATGTCTTGTTAATATAATTTGTTCCTCATAATGTACACACAGGAAACTTGCTATCCGTCGTGCACAACCAACATATGTGTGATGTTGGCATGAATACTCTGGTGTAATACCAGCACAAATGAATGGGCGTGGCAGATCTACACAACTGAACAAAAACATTATAAAACATCTCCTAAATCAGAACGCCAAATAAACTACACACACGCTCTGCGGACATTCGATAAATTCACACATAAAATTTACGACATCATTCTGGTCAGAAATCCATCCTTTTCTCCTTCATCTCTCTGTTTAATTCCAATCTCTCTAATTCTTTTAGAAAACAATGACTCATATTGTCTTCTGGGACACATTGAAACTGCCGCGTGTTTTACCGTTGTCTCCTGCACATTGAAATCAACGTTGAGGAGTAAGGCTGTGATTACAAAAAAAACTTCAGTAATGGGGAGACGACATAGGGCAAACACACGACCCCATCAAAGAACAATGGCAGGACCATATTACGACCCCCTGGCTTTACCCTCAGTTGTTTTCTTGTACCATGTTGTCGTCTGCAAATTTGTTCTTCGTGTCGAGGCATTCGCCGCCGGCAAAACAGAAATCTCTCCATCAGCTATATCTGTAAACAAACTGGTCACAAAATCGAAGCTGTTTTCTTGAAGGCACCAAACAATCACTTGTATGTGATGGAGACCTTACGACGTTCGTGGATGTGCATAAATAATGTGTAGGAATACTAATATTACTCTCACACGAGATGTTGAACAGAACTGCTTTCACATAATTATGCAGAGGCCATATAATAAATAAATTTATGGTCTCAGGTCTATGCACATCTGGCCGAAGTACCCATCAAAGGTAAAACGAGTCCTATATTAATTTTCATGAAATTATTAAAATTGAAAATGTTTTTATAGTTACTCGTCATATATATATCCGACGATTATGAACTGAACACCCCACCAGTGAATAACTAAACCTTGCGACAAAGCACAGTTTAATTTTGACATATATCGCCTTAAACGTCACTTAAGAGAACTTGCAAACACTCAAGCAATATTACTTCATATTCCTGTTGTATACACATGTACTTCAGTACCTGACAGCTATATACCGGCATGATTAAGTCTGTGGTATCTACAGTATGTATATCCATGTATATACATGCGCAGTCACTTATGATTACGCTGGAATGTGAACACGCGTGTCATTCACCTTGACCCTGGACATAACAGATGACGTTGTCAGACGCGCGGTCGATCTCGACCGATCACCTGCTGTCGAACTTTCGGTCTTAACACATCCGTTCCTGTCAGTGCAGAAGATGGATTCATATGCGTAAGATCTTAATCGATATGGCTGTTCCGAAAGGATCCTTTCTCGTCTCTACCATATTTTACAGCCGCCTCGCCCAGTAACTTATTCAGCATTGCTTCTGCTTTGGTTGTTGTTTTAAGGCGCGCTCAGCAGTATTCCGCTATAGGATCCGGGTTAGAATTGATCTTCAGCGACCTATGCTTGTTGTAAGAGGCGACTAATGGGGACAGGTGATCAGGATCACTGATTGTCTTTACACATGTCATCATACGCCAACTACAGAGACCGCAGCTCATGGTGTCAGTCACTGGATTGTCTGGTTCAGACTTACAAATTTACAGACCGCCACTGGAATATTGCTGAGTTTGGCGTTAAACAACAACAACAACAACAACAACAACAACAACAACAACAACAACATCGAGACACATACATGAACATGAGTGGCCCACAAGCGCCGGCATTGTACCCATACTGATTGTGAGGATGTTGGTTACATCAATCACTGTATGACCTGTATCAGACAATATCATATAAACATAACCATGTCAAAACCATTAAAGAAAAGTAGTTACAAATGCCTTGTATATTATACATGTGCATATTACAGGTGCATTAACATGTGGAAACGTGGACGACATTTAACTGTAACGGTTTTGGACTGTAACGATGGACAGTTCACCTGGTTATGTCCTAGGACATCACATTAACTTGGGGCATGGACTCAAGTGATCAACAGCATGAGCATCGATCTATGCAATTGGGATATGATGACATGTGTCAGCCTGACCACCCTATCCCGCTAGTTGCCTCCTACGACAAGCATGGGTTGCTGAAGATCAATTCTAACATGGATCTTCACGGGTCAGAAATACTGTAAAGTGAAAAACAAAATTCTCCCGCAAGATAACAACAATCGATGTATATGGGACAACAATATAATCAAATCTGTGTTCTGATCGGTGTTGAATTGTCGATTGCTATTAAGGCCAGCAAATACAAAGCATGTCACTGAGCATGGGGGTATTTGTGAATGATACCCATCTATTGCTGTACTGGACATATTATTATAGGATTTTGTTTTATAAAGCGCACGCATCCACGCAACTGGTACATGCTGAAGGCGCTGGTATTTTCCCCTCGATCATTGGACGTCAATCTCACCGGCACATCGTATTATCAATCTCAACTCCCCGGGGATCATACAACTTTTTGCAGCCACTAGTGAGTGAGTGAGTTAACATTTAGCGTCACATGGGCAATATGTCAGCCATATCGTGATGAGAACAATTTCATTTATGTCAATTTTAAAACAAACAAATATATAACGTAAAAACCTGTCATCAAAGGACAGTAAAAATACTAGAGTATCACATCTCTTAACTTAAAACTAGCATGTAAAACTAAAACATTTTAATCCAAGAAGACAATACAATATAAAACACGGGCTATAGATCGCCAACAACAGAAGGTAGATCACCATACTAGGGACCATGGGGACTTACAGTGCCTTTGCTACCTTCATGGACCCAAGTTGGATTTACACCATCCCCTCAGCATCTGGCGATTGCAGGAAAATCTAGCCGAATTTTAAAAGAACAAAAATACTACGTTTAAAAATTTGGTAAGCTTAAATTTAACACTGAAAGTTTTGGGACTTACGTACCTGCAGCCACTAGGCACACAGAGTTAATGCGGATTTCCATCCTTACGAGGTACCCATTCACAGCTGGGTGGACAGTACTTTGTCCAAGTTTACTGCACGTTGCTGTACCCGCAACTAGGTGTTTGCACATATTCAAGTGGCCACCATCTGGTCATATACCAACGGATTCGTGGGTTCTTTTGTGTGCACGGGTTTGTGTACTGTACACTGTGTACTGTTTGTGGCTGTGACAACACTGAAAGAGTCTGCACACAAAGTTGACTCCAAGGTTTTTTACACCCGGTCACAGTTGGGCTCGATCCTGACACCTCAACCTCGCTGGATCACTAGCCTGGCGCCTTAGACAGCTCGCCCATCATGCCCCACATGTTGTAATGGAACATGCTTCTTAAAATAAACCAGTAGGCCTGGTTTCTGCCACTGCCATTTCAATGCAGTATTCCTTATTTATTCTCAGATTTCCTCCCACAGCACTATTCAAAGCTGGTGATGAAAACTGGAAAACATTAAAGGAATGCTTGAATTTTCCTGTGTTCCTTTATTTGTTTCTCTCAGTATACTAGTATATCTAATTCACTTCTGCGCATACATTAGTGTTAACTGTTGTTTACCACAGTCTTGTGTACACATAGAAGTCCAGAAAGCTCCACACTTTGACACTAAGATAAGAGTATGGATTTAGTTGTAGCTCAAAAACTTCTAAGATTGGCTGGTTCCCAGCTGTGACATTTTTATTACACACACAAAACAGATATACATAATTATATACATGTTCATGCATTGTCTGCACTACTGCATTGCTACACTTCAACCCAACCTATGGCAACTGTTTTCACAAACAAGGCACTACAAAGCTCATGACAACTTATTTTATTGTCAACAATATTATGCTAATATACATCTATGTTTGATCAATTAAAGATATGTAACAACTATACACACTGACGTAAAGGTCAAACACAACTGCGGTGGGACAGTTGCTTCCATAATCTCATGGTTCTCTACTCTAGCATGGCACACTCACTAAACCAGAGGCTGTTGCAAAATCAGAAACTGCATACCTGAAACTGTTTATCTGTGCTCATCTGGACATCACTCCGAGACATGCCAGAGTAAAACCAGTATATGACCTATCAGAAGTTCATGCATCTTTGTGGATCCATGCAACAGCCTCACTCTCAATATAACACACATCTTAGATGCCCAGTATCAGAAATATGCTGGAGTTGAGTTTAGACGGTTACTACATCATAGCTGTAACAAAATCTGGCTACATCATGATGTGGTCAACATGATCCAGAAAACACAAAATGCAGAACAGAAACAACCTATGTCGTAGATTACAGAAGTATCAGTTGAACCCGCGAGAAAGCTTGGAGGGTTTCAACGTGCAGTGCAAACTACAACAAGTAGCCTGATAATGACTTTCTGTGTCTGTCTCACCAATATGCAGCAAAGAAACCATTTTTGATATGTGCATGAATTACCAACATACTGTATGTTTGCTTTTCGTTACAAAATGTGTTCTTATGAAGACAAGAAGCATTTTCCCAACCTCTATCAGCCTGTTATCCTGCAGCTGATGGAGGTCAAGAGGGAAATACCATTTGAAATAAACCTTCACAAATATGATATAAGTATATTTATTTCAATGCACACTCATTCAACATTGCTACAATAACAAGGTGTCTATTGCAAAAAAATGCCCCAAATATATAAACATATAATGTTCAAATTGCAAACATACTGTGTATTAAATAACACTCATAAAGTTATGAATTTTGAATTTTCATCTCTAACATTAACATTCATGGACACCTGACATCTGTGAAGGATTTCAATTCCTACCAGACAGATTACACCATTAGCAAATGCCACACAGGAAACGTTCACAGGTGTCGATGACATTACAAGATTTGAACCATACACATCTGTAACTTCCACTTTGCATAAAAATAAAAAAAAATATATAATAAATAACAAAGAAAAGTTAAACAAGGGAAAAATTGAGATTGTAATTTGTGCTGTACATAAGCTTCCACAGCCTGGTCTTATGTTGAGCTCTCCACCCTGCGACAGATTTCTTTTGTGAAGTCAGAGCACGTGGCATTTCCACCTAAATCTCCTGTCAGCACCTGGGAGACAAAACAAAGATGTTATTTAGTATTGTAGGTTTGTATACCATTGTACTGACAAGTAATATACATGATATCAATCTATGTCCAAAACACTTCAGCCTACCAGCACAAAGGTGTACTTTCACCGAATTTTCAACATATCTAAGTCTTTGCATATGGTGTAGTGTATAATTTGCATGATGATTTTTCAAAATAAAAAGAAACTTTATGAAGCATAGGCTTCGGACAAGTGACAAAGGCCACAGACTGTTACATGCACTTCAAGGTATCACAGATTATACATGGATATCAAGTTAATCAAGTGGTGGTGGTGTGTGGTCCTGTGCATAGAGCTCAGGTCACAATCAGTTGAAGTTAAGCAACACTGGGCGCGGAGAGTCCTTCTATGGGTGACAGTGTTTGGTAGCTTGACTCCTGACAGTTTCTAGGACTTCAGTCCTGCCCCACAACGAAGCACATGTGATACATGTGATCTCACCATTGGCAAGTGAGTTTGTTCAGAATTGCCTCTGTTCACCCAGCAGAAAATGGGTACCCAGTGAAATAAGTCATGAGACTTCTAGAGCCCAACAGGCAGCTTGGGTTATCCGGGGTAATAATGATCAGAATGTGCACTTTGAGCAGGATATCTAGCCTGGAAAAGGCGCGTTATAAATATTCTCATTATTATTATCATCAATATAATTCCTGAAATGACAACGCATTTGAAGAAGCCAATCTCAATACAAATGTGACTAAGCTATCTTTCCCCCCAAGGATCCCTCCTTAATGTCTGTATCGGTGAAAGTTATTTGATGAAGAAGTCAGCAAATACTGCAGCTTCAGTGACGCAGCCTGAGGGGAGACCTGTCTCAACCACACACTCAATGATAAAATGAGTTGTCACTTACTTGTCAGCTTAATGTCAAGCATAGGGATTTTTCTTCAAAAAGAGAAGAGACTCATTTGATGCTCTTATTCATATTTCAAACAACATAAAAAACACACGGTCATAATCCCTAATCATATGCACCAATTAACGTTTAAGGAAAAGAGTGTGTTGCTAAATCTTGAACCCATGAAATGGTGTGACATTAGACATACCCTTCCTTCACTGATGACCTCAAGGGCGGCCTTCTCTATCCTACGAGCATGTTCTCCAAGGTCCATGTGTCGCAACATCATCACTGCACTGAGCAGCAGGGCTGTGGGGTTGGCCTTGTCCTCCCCTGCAATGTCTGGAGCTGTGCCGTGAACCTGCCATCATGATTCACAGAGCAGTCTTTAGTCATGGGAACTGGTTTCAATTTCATGACTAAATATTGGTTTGGAAAAGGATTCAGTGATCTGACTGATCATGCCGAAAAAGCCCAGAAAAGTATTACATTTACAGCTATCTTCCTTTGTATCCTTCATGTTGTAACCAAATATATAATACTAAAACCATTTTCGCTATTCTCTACATCACAAACATATCCACTAAGTAAGTCATCTTGCAACATCACTACAGGCAAAAAAAACCCAGCAGGTAAATAGATTTGTGATTTTCAATGAATTATACAGCATCATATTTACCCCCTCAAATTCATTAATTTACAATAACTGGTTGTATGAGAATATTTTGCATATTTTGTTCCATGAAACGAAATCAGCAAATTAGGGGAATAATTAACTGAGTGCTTCTTGAGTGTTTTGGTTCTGTACATATTATATCTAAAGACTTTCTTAATCAATAATATAATGATGAAGCATATGATTTTATTGATAACCACTTCTTATTTATTGCATAGAGTGATGTCTTGGTGTAGATTCTTACACAGTAACAAACTACATCACTCAAGGCAATAAAAAATTGATATTTATAAAGTCCTATGTTTGATTATTGACACACCATCTTCTAGAATGGAGACCAAACAATTAATAACATAATGATTATTGAAACTACCTTACCACTTAAATTTTTCATTTTGAAAATTGATAACACTGATGATAACACAAACTCACAGATTCAAAAATAGCTCCCTCTGATCCAATATTTCCACTTGGTGTGACTCCAAGGCCACCGATAAGGCCTGCACACAAGTCACTGGAAGCATAACCACAGTTTTCGTCAATATTGTGAAAAGACATTAACAACATCTGATTTTAGAGTCCTTTATTATAATGTTTGCTGTCAACTGCATTGCTTGGATGAAATGAAATCTATCCTTACCTCAAAATATCACCATACAAATTTGGCATAACCAGGACATCAAACTGTGTTGGATCCTGGACCATCTGTAATGAAGGAGGATCGTCTCGTACATATAATGTATGATGGAATCGTTGGCTAAAAGATACCATTGTCAGTGTTCATGATGAACAACACAGACCTAAAGGATTTTCAAACTTGTCAGCTATTCTTGAACATTGTCATATGCCATCAAGGAATATAAACTGTCAAAATATTACATTACTGAACTAGATTGTTAATTACGGGAAATCATAACATGTTTTGCATATAAGCAGCATGTATCTGATTCAGATTTAGCAGTTTAACTGTCTTATATATATGTCAAGAGAGAGAAGGAACAGAAGAAAAACATGCAAAAATCTAGAGCAACCATTATTATATATGCTTGTGGCTGACAATATATATATGATTCCTAAAATACTGCAAAACTTACATTAAGGCAAACTGTATCCAAGTACATTTCAGAAAACTTGATATCTCTATTTTTCTCTGCTACCTCTCGACAGCATTTCAAAAAACAAACCATCTGACATTCTCCTGAAAAAGAGAAGTGAACCAGGAGTTTAATCATCACTACTGACTAGTCAGCAAGTCTTTTAGTTTGACTTTCAAAAATCAAACCATCTTACTTTTCTAATTCAAATAAACTTTACATACATGTATTACATATTAATGAATGTACACTCTGGGATAGGGCTGTGCAATATGACCGGTAAACCGGTATATACCGGTACAGTATCTCGCGATACGATTATCATAATATGGTTCAGAATCTGCAATCATTGGATCATTGAGAATTAGTCCCCTTTGTATTATCTGCCCTTGACTGCCATAGCAACAACATGTGCTCTAAAAGTACCAAATATACTTTCATTTCTGTTGGTTTCATGTAACAGTTTACAAGTGGAAGTGTCTTTATAAGTGGCTCCAAAAGTGCCAAATATTCTACCAAATGCTTTAAGTTTTGTGGGTTCGAAATGGTTTCTTATGCCATCTTTTTTAAGGAATCAAGTGGCCTCAAATGGACCAATCTTTTTAAAAAAGCAAGATTTATGGATGTCAACTTCTTGTTGTGAATAACACGACGTTTCAGAGTGTATGCTTGCTCCTTCATCGAGTCATAAAGGAGCAAGGATACACTCCGAAATGTCGTACTATTCACAATAAAGAAGGTGACATCTATAAATCTTGCTTTCTTTATGCATTCAACTTCTAAATGCCCTTAAAAGATTTGACCAATCTTTTATTTGGACTTAATAGCAGAGCCTTTGGCTTTGAGTGACCATTTTGTTTGTTTTATAATGGAATACATGTTATCAATTTATTATAAAGGCCAAAATCTTAAAAAAACTTGTAGGACTGTATAATGATATTCTAGTCAAGGATCTTACTTATTGGATGTCACATGAGATTTCAAGCTCAAGCAGTTCACCTAAATCATGTTTTTGTCTTCTCATTTTGCAATAGCTCATGTTAATACATGTTTATAATGGAGTTGAATCTGATTGAATCACTGACATACAGTAACAATAATTACATACTGCATTGAAGTGCATTCCTTTGAAGAAAACAGCGCTGATGATGAAAATCATGTTATTTCTATTAAATTTATCATTATGTTAGCAAAACTTTGTTGGAATGCAGTACTTCAATTAAACATTCTACATTAAGGCTCAATATCATTTCATTTATTTGTAAACCATTGGCATACAGCCATACATAATGGGGACAGGGAGCAACTAAGAAGATGATGTCGCACACAGACAGCTAAAATGAATTTATGATGTACACACTTAGGCAGAGTCCTTCCAGTCAATATATCACAATATGTATTGCAATATCTCTTAAATTATTGCAATATATCGCAATATGAAAATCAGGGCAATATCCAGCCCTACTCTGTGAACACCCGGAAATATCCCTGTAGCCTCATTCCATCAAACTGCTGTGAGTGTCACGTGATCACTGTTGTAATGACATATTGACTTCATTCACTGGCCCCAAATAGCCCTCATAGCCCAAGATTTCTAGCTAACTTTCCCAACTCACATGATGTTGGCTTTGTGCACTGCTGTGACTGTGCTTCGATCATTGTCACGGGCAAACTTGAAGGCATACTCGGCCACCCTCATGGACGCTTGTTCTGTGATAAGTTTGATGCTCTGTACAACTCCATCAACAATCTAATACAAGGAAAAAAACATCAGTGTAGTAAACTTGATTAATGTCAAGAACATCAACAAAACCAAAATTGATCAAATCAGTTCCCAGGGTTCATACACTTGAAAGTACCCTAAATTCCATGACTTTTCCATGGTTTTTCAAGGCTATTTTCTGAGTTTTCCATGACAGGGCAAGCAAGGGCCCAGTACTTAAACACGAAATTAAAGGCCACATGAACTAAATTTCCATAACTTTTTAAATATATGCCCAGTTTCCATAGCTTTTCAAGGCCTGGAAATGTAATATTAATTTTCCACAACTTTTCCAAGTTTCCATGACCTGTGCGAACCCTGGTTCCTTGTCAAAGCACACAACCATACAACAGAATGTAATAAGGGAGACAACTCTTCAGATTTGAACATACACACTGCAAACAGGCCTTGTCTTGTCAAAGCAGGGATGGGATAATTCATGACCATCCCTGGAGGATGTATAATGCATCACAAAGCTATCAGTATGCTACCTGATGTGCACAGAATATTTCAGTGAATATTGCAACAATTTCATTGTTTGCCTGTTTGTCATCATGTAACAATTATCCACCTCTAAACATGTCACATGGAACAAAAATATTTTGGCTTCATAAAACTTACTGAAATCTACCTTTCAAAAACAGATTGTGTGACTCTTTCGGTATCATGATGCTTATCCTGACCTCACTATAGAGATACAATGCATGTATCGGATTGCAACTTGTGAGTTGTCCAAACCAAGTCCTGTAGGCATCCAATACATTTACAGATACTACTTGTATATTTTATTAACAGTCTGAAATTACCAACCCATAAGACACTTAAGACAAACACTTGGCAAAGCTGTGAGTTAAAGGGGGACAATGAAAGAAAGCTGAAAGCTACTCATTCACTTACAACATGTTCAATGCCACTGTACTCTCCCTCAGTGTTTTCTCTGATGGTCACAATGTCGACATCATCATACGGTGTCTTGAACCCCTCAATAGAGCGACATGGTCTCACATTAGCATACAGGCTGAAAGCTCTGAAACAAAGTCAATTTCTGAATATGCAAGCATCACTAGAATCAAATGAGTTGCTTACTAGTGTAAACTTTGGATTAGAAAATCCAAGAGGAATGAATAAGAACCCCATAACCAATAAACTTTGATGGTATTATCTTAATAATAATAAAAAGAACTTTTCTAAACTATGGCTTACAAAATAAGAATGAATAAATTTGGAGTGAGTGAGTGAGATTTTACGCCGCTTTTCGGAATACACCAGCAATATCACAGCAGGGGACACCAAAATTCGGCTTCACATATAGCACCCATGTGGGGATTCAAACCTGGGTCTTCAGCGTGACAAGCGGACGTTTTAACCAATAAGCTACTCCACTGCCCCAACAAAATTGAAAAGAAGTTCAACCATAAACTGTTTTATGACATAAGTTAACTGAAGTAATCTATTTGATAATTAGTAAGGTCCACAGAATATTGATCATATACATGTATATGATGGATGCATGTAAATAAAGTATAAAATGTTTGTTTCATTTCAGTATAATCCAGTCTGAATTGGGCATGGGTAGGTTGGGGCAGTTGTGAAAGACAAAATGAGCTATGCCTACAAATATCAGAACATGTATGATCAGGGGTGGAAATAACTTTAAAATTGCTAGTGTACTCGGTACAGTGGCACATGTAAAATCACTTGCCCTGATAATTTTTCCAATATACCGGCCGTTTTCTTATTGATTTTTTAAATAAACAACATAATTAACATTGGAACATCAACTGGACACCGGTACAGTGTGATATACAAATTTGCTTGCCCGACAGAAAAAAAACACTGGACTCGGGGCGTTGGGCAATGGGTTATTTCCACCCCTGATGATACGTGTCTAGGTCTATTTTGACAATCAGTTTAGTAACACTGGCATAATCAGTATGATCAGTGGTAGATACTTACATTGGTCCAATGGTTCAATTCCTGCATATATTCATAAGAACCAGTGACATTAATTGTCCTCGAGGTCTAATGTTATTTGGGGCAGGAACAAAGCAATTTAAGTTTGTACAACTTTTGAAATCAGTGAGAGACTGACTTTAACTCTAACAAAACCAGCAACTTAAACAAGCTAGCTTGGTGCAGTGGTCACCTTCTTGGCTGGTTTTGTATCCCAATTGTACAGTGAAATAATGCATTTAATACCCTTTTTGGTCAGGACCATTGTGTCTTGTGTAGATCCAACAGAACCAGCAGGTTCATATATGTAATGGCCATATGTAATACTGACAAATTCAGGTCAATGTCATACACTATTCAGAAGTGTTAGCCTAACTTACTTTCTAAGTGCCAAGTTAAGTGACTGGTGTCCCTTTCCAATGGGTGTAGCAAGTGGTCCCTTCAGTCCAACCTTCGTTTTGCCCATTGACTCAAAGATCTTTTGGGGAAGGTGGAACTTGCCATCAGGTCCCTTGACTGGAGTAACATCGACCTCCTCCCAATCCACTGGGGCCTGGCAAGAATAAAAAACAAATTGTAGAACACTGTCATGTCAGAAATACAGGCTAAACATCAATTCTAAACAGATAATAGAGCCTATCAAAAGATTTAATTACAGCTGTAATCAGGAACTTAACCTGGGTCTATTGAACTATGAATACTGGGGGTCTCTTGGTAATAATGTTTGGGTGTAGGGAGCTCAAAGTTTGCAAAATGTGGCACGCTTAACCTGATTTAATAGAACTTTAGCCAAATTTCAATGTTAAACAGAATTTGCTTGTTTTTCTTAAAAGAATAGAAAAGTTAATAGTAACTTGAATAATTGCAAAAAAAATAAGTGATGTAAAAACCCCATAATTATATGGTTCTGATTTTTACACCGGTATGCCAGGTTTTGATTTATGATATAGTTGGTATTTTGCTGTCTGCAGTGATAAACATTCAATGAAATAATGAATTTAGTTGTGACATTATTTACTGACAGTCAGTGACTGTTCAAGGACTTACCCCTGATGCAGCAAAGATTTGCTTGACAGAATCAGAGATTTCTGGTCCAATGCCATCTCCTGGGATGAGTGTGACAGTTTGAACCTAGGAATAAATTGAACTTTGGTTAAAACAAGGGAGAACACTGCATCAGCATTTACAGGTAATCTCTATTATACAAGCATAATATCTTTTGATATGAAATGTATTAACACAATATGATAAAAGCTTTATGCTCTGAGGCACGCTCGGGAGATCTACAATTGTAACAGTGAATGTTGATATTCCAGAACTTCATATCAATGATTCACAAGAGGAATATACTTATCGTCCAGAACCATTCTTCTAAATGTTTTAGTATGCAAAAAAATAATGAATAACTGACTGACTGACTGAGTTCGGCTTTACGCCGCTTTTAGCAATATTCCAGCAACATCACAGCGGGGGACACCAGAAATGGGCTTCACACGTTGTACCCATGTGGGGATTCGAACCCGGGTCTTCGGCGTGACGAGCCAACGCTTTAACCACTAGACTACCCCACCGCCCCAAATAATGAATAAACAGTGTCTTGTATGCAAATGTATATTACAACTTCCATGGCAGAAAGATTAGAGGTGTCATTTGAATGAGAAGTCATGGTAACCTATTCAAAACCATGGTTTTCGAAGGATCATGATGCACTTTCATTGCAGATATATCCCAGGAGATATTGCTTGATCTCACCCAAACATAAGGAAACCAGGTTTGAATGATAAAATGACACATAGGACAGGTATGTGCCCCAAACATGAAACTTGAGTGTGAACCTCAACCAGCTTCTGCTGCTATTCATGAAAGTAATGAATAATTTGTGCCCATTATATACATATTATATCACATCAATAGTTCTAACTTGATGGATAAATCACAGTGACAACTGTTGTGGCTTAGTTAAAGGCTGACTGCTCCACTTTCAGACTCGTTTATACAGGATGTCTATTTGTCTCATCTGAACCATAAAATTTGATACAGCATATAAAACTGTTGTAATGATTTAAAAGAACAAGGATTGCATTCAGACAAGAGAAGTTAAAACTGAAATTAAAATGTTTCTGTTACTGCTGATGTAAAGAAAGGCAATTCATACATAATAATCATTACTGATAGAAAGGAAATTCACACATACCTGGCTGGAAAAATGTTTCAACCCAGGGGTGCTTTGAAATATACTCTGCAAACAAAGATATATTGTTATTAGCGGTGTTACTGTGTCCAAAGCCACTGATAGTGCCATTTTAAACATGTACGTATCACAAGAGAAAGCATACCTAATTGTACCAAAGGTGTTTTTTTTATCCTGAAGCTTGTAATTGTAACTAACATTGAATGATTACTTACCAAAATGAACTTCTATTTTATGTTACATATACATTTTTCAAAACATTAAGTTATAATTCCATAGCAAAACAGCAAAATATGTCTTCAATTTGATGCTTTGTTTGCTTGTATTTAAATACTGCATTCTGAGCAATGTCCCAGTCTGTCAGGGTACATTGAGAAGTAGCTACCAGGTATCCAAGACTGACATCCTGATCCATTCAATCATCCCCTAAAATAAACATAAGTTGCTTTATATTTGATGATATATGATGTACTTACAAAGTTTCATCAATAAATGTTAAACATTTTATGCATATTATTGCCTTGGAGATGAAAACATATATATGAAACTAAAACATTCATTCATAAAACACAATTTTGCATTATTGAAAACATGTAATTTTTAGAGTAAAATTGATATTTTATACTTATCCTGACTCATGCTCTTTTGCTTGTCTTCTTCTTCTTGCGAACATAGTGGAAACACTTGTATCTCCTTAATTGAAGCTCCCTTCAATGTAAAATCACTAATTGGTACTCACCACGAGTTGCTCCCCTTTAATCCCTCTGGCGGGAAAGGTGTCGCCACCTTATACCTCGTGCTTCACTCTCTCCTGATTTTGCGAGCCCAACACTTGAATTTACGGGGAAATCCAAAGTGTTATGTGGGGAGGATGGGAGGGCTGACCTCATGAGTCAGGATAAGTATAAAATATCAATTTTACTCTAAAAATTACATATTTTCCTTATCCTGACTCATGCTCTTTTGCTTGTAGAATCCTACGGAACGGAGGAGGGAGTAATAGAATACTTTGGATTTATAATTAGTGATTTTGTATAAATATAACTGTAATAACCGGTATGGGAACTTCATGAAGGCATTGACTTAGGATATTTCCTGTATTTAAACCATAGGTTATATAATGCCATAATTGGGTATTACCTTGATATATACTGAAAAACCATTACATATATTATATATATATATAAGTGACTCTGATAGAGTCGCTGTACAACTAAACATAATGTCAATATATACTTAGGGGTGAATAACCTAAGCTAAATATATACATAGCTCTAGAACTCCTTAGAGTTATAAGCTAGCTAAATTATGTATATAATACATATTAAACTTGTGATGGTAATATTTAACGCCTACGAGGGACTGTCAGCTGTTGAGCGAGGACCAAAGGGCCAAAATGGTGAATGCCAGAGACATCTTCTGTGGTGATGTCTCTCAGGTAGTGATTCTCAAACACCATGTTCGATTTCCAAAAGCATCCTTCCATAATTGTGTTCAATGAACAGTTACCGTGCAGGGCGAGGGTGGAAGCCAGTGCCCTAATCTCATGCGGATTTGATGCTGTTGGTGGGTCCAAGCCTGCTGCCTTGTAGGCGCGAAGTATGACAGTCCTTATCCAAATAGATATGGTAGTACGCGAGACTTCTGTTTGATTCGTTGGTGATAAGGGGATGAATAATCTTTTGAGAAATCTTCGCCTCGTTTTGGATCGTCGTAAGTAAACTTTGAGAGCTCTGACTGGACACAGTGATAAGTCTTGTGTATCTTGTGATCCGAGAATCGAGGATAGCGCGCTGGTACATGGAATAACCTGTCTGGTTGACCTGGTAGTTGATTTTTGGCGATGAAATCCCATCTTAATCCCAGGTGCGCTATGTTTTGATTGTCATCAAACTGTATCCTCTCGTAATCCAGAGCGTGAATTTCAGATATTCTTGCTGCCGTGGCTAGAGATAGCAGAATTAGTGTTTTCTGTGAGAGAAATTCAAAGTTTGTCGATTCCAAAGGTTCATAGGCCTCACTAGTGAGGTGTTCTAACACTATATTCAGATCCCAAGCTGGGGCGTGGAACTTCCGCTTTTGGTCCTCCAATCGAAAGCACGTAGTAAGGCCAGTAACTCTGGAGATTTTGTCAGCTTGACACCCGTTCTCATAGTGATCACAGAGCTAAGCGCGGCAAGATATGTTGATATCGTCGAACCTCTTAAATGTTTGTTTTGCCGCAGGTAACACAAATAGTCTGCCACTTGAGGATGTGAAGCATCTCTCGCTGTAAATCCTTTATTAGCTGCATAATTTTCGAAACTGTGCCACTTGTCGTCGTACAAGTTACGAGTCGAGTGTCGTAAGGCAAGCGTGACGCTTTTGCCGCCCTGGCAGAATATCCTCTCTTGTTTAAACACATTTGTATACAGTCCATACGTGAAGTTGGTAAACTTCTGGGTTTCCGTGCACCTGTTTTGTGTGTGGATGTATTAACAGGTTTGAGCGCTTGGGTAGCTCTAATATTGGTTGACCGATTTCTTGAATTAGAATGGGAAACCATACTCTGGCCGGCCAGTAGGGCGCGACCAAAGTGAGTTGTAGACTCTGTGTTTGTTTGATTTTCTGTAATACTTGAGGTATTATTGCTGGCGGCGGAAACGCGTACGCGTTGAGGCCTTCCCATGATATACTTAGAGCGTCCGTTTCCCAAGCTTGTGGATCTGGGATTGGTGACACGAATGTCGGTAGCTGATTGTTGAATCTTGTGGCGAATAGATCTATTAGCGGCGCTGCTAACGGCTTGATTATCTGTGCAAATATTTCCGTATTGAGCATCCACTCTGTCGGTGATGGTAGATGAGGCCGAGAGAGCGCGTCTGCTAGTACATTTCTGGCTCCGGGGAATGTGAACTGCTCTGATCTGTAGATTTAGATCGTGGGTTAGATCGAATAGTTGAAAGCTTAAGTTCAAAAGGTTCAGTGATCTCGTTGAGCCTTGCTTGTTCACGTAGAACGCCACTGTGGAATTGTCGGTATGAATCATAAGGTGCGCATTTTGTAGAAATGTGCTCCAATGTAGAATGGCGTTGATTACAGCTTTCATCTCTAGGATGTTTATATGGAGTTTGCTTTCTTGTTGGTTCCATAATCCCGATGTCGTCTGGTTGGCGAGATGAGCTCCCCAACCTTGAAGTGACGCGTCCACATATAGATGGGTTTTGAATTCCTGCTCTGCTAAACAAATCCCTTCGCAGACATTCGATTTCTTTGTCCACCATAGTAGATGAGGTCTGAGATGTTTCGGTAGACTGAATGGCGGTAAATCGTCGAGATGTGCATTGATGAAGACCTGTAAGGGACGTAACTGTAACCTGCCTCTGACTGTCATGTCTTGGGCTGATGTGAGGAGACCTAAGAGGCTCTGCCACTGTCGAAGTGGTAACGGAGAGAGTAGAGCTGGTGGAATGGTCTGTTGGATCTTGATCCAACGGTCTTCTGGTACGACGATACGGTTGAGATTTGTGATAAATCGAATGCCTAGGAACTGTAGGTCTTGTGGACGGTACTAGGTCCGACTTGAGTAAGTTTACTAACCATCCTAGCTGTGTTAGTAGCTTTATGATGTAGTTTAACTGTAGTTTGAGATGCTGTGGATCTTGATCTACTTGTATCCCGTCGTCGAGGTGAAAGCGACTCGTAGCCCTTGATGATGAAGATAGGTGATAATCGGGTTTCGTTATCCTCATTGTGAAAGCCAGGGGCTGATGATATTCTGAATGGGAGCACTTTCCACTGGTAATGTTGCCCGTCTAAAGTAAACCGTAGGTATTTCCTGGCTTTGGAGTGTATCGGGATGTGCAGGTAAGCGTCCTGTAGATCGATACTGCCCATGTAGTCCATGAGGAATCAACTGCCGTAACTGAGGTAAATGTATCATGCGGAACTTCGGAGGTTTGCGTAGATAGTTCTTGTTGAAAAAGCTCATGTTGTAGATGAGTCTGTATTTCTCCTTGGAGTTTTTCTTGGGAACTAGGAAAACTGGGGAGTAGAAACCTGGTTCTATGTTGTCTTGGTCTAGTACTTCTATGGCCTGCTTTATTAGGAGTGATGTAACAGCCTCTCTTAACTTCGGTAGTTGTTGTGCCTGTAAGTCGAACTTGTGAGGGTTGACTGTCAGCGGAGGCTTGGCCTTTAGTGGGATATGAAATCCGTGACGAAGAATGTTGGAGACATAAGGGTCTTGTAACATTCCCCAGTTTTCCCAGTATAGTTGGAGGCGTCCACCCACTTGAGATGGTTGTACTGGAACGGCTGGGGGTGGAAGACTCCAGTCGTTCCGAACCTGTCTTTCAGCGTTTATAGTTGCGGGAACCTCTGGGTGTCCTGCCTCTTCCTGATCCTCCTCTATAGTTGCCGAATGGGCGACGAAAAGAATCTTTTCCTCTAGAGCTGGCTATCTTCCTGTCTCGTGCTCTCTGTAGGCCCGTGAATTTAGTATCTTTGTGAAGTCTGTCGAATGACGCTGGCTAGTGTGTCCATCGATTTAATCATAAGGACTTCTCTGGAATCCTTAGTGACTTCCTTGGAAACTTTGTCTATTTCTCCGTTAAAGATGGATGTTGAAGACCACGGGGCTGTATACAGTGGGGCTGTAAAGTTCTCACCCCAGTTGCAGGAAGCGAGGAGGCCTTGACGACGAGCTAAGGTCAGTGCTGCTGAAATAGATGTAAGATGATCTGTTAGGAACTGCTGGTCTTTCTTTTGCATAAGTAAGGCAGAATAAATCATTCTATCATCCTCAGAAGTCGTATCACGAAATCTGGTGATAAGAGTCTCATTGATCGTTCTAGATCTATTTAAACCAAAAACATAACGCCTCGTCATGGTTTCTATCTGGACTAACTTGAGATCATCAATCTTGTAATTCTTGTACTTGACGCCGTTGATCAACTTATAGTTCTCATCGATGTCTTGAGCTTTGAAGAAGGGGTCCATGTTATGCGTGGAGAACTTCTTGGCATGAAAGTTTGGTAGATGTGGTGTCTGAACTTTCGTGGCTTTGTGGAATGCTGCATCTAGATTCTGTGGGACTGCTGCAATCGGGTCGATCGGTGGTAGTGTGATAGCATCAGCATCGTCTTCTTTCATCAGATATGTCTGCGCCACATTGCCATTTTTAGATGGTGATGAGAGATCTAGGTTATTGACCATCCAATACCGTATCTCAGCATCGGAGAAAATAACTCCTCCATCATCCTCTATACCATCATCATTGATGAGAGGTTGGTGCTGCTCTGGACTGCGTGCTTCTGTCTCTACGTCCGGCGATGCTTGTGCAGCTCTGTATGGTGACCTGTAAGGTGATCTACGTGGTGATGAACGAGGAGGAGATCGTCTAGGTGATCTACGTCTATGGGTTGATCTTCTCGGTGACCTGTGAGGAGAACGTTGATAGCTTCGCGAAGCTCTTGTGTAGTCCCTCGATGTCCTTCTAGATGATGATGATCTGGATTCAGCTGCCCTTCGCGAATGCCTTCGCGAAGCTTCCTCTGCGTCCGGTCCGGGGGAATTACGATAAGACCTTCGCGAAGGCTTTCGTGATGTCTGATGGTCCGAGTCCACATCTTGGGATGAAAGTGACGAGGGTGATAATCTATCCCGCCTGCGCGAAGGCCTTCGCGAAGGCTGTACATCTAGGTCCTTCGTGGAGGTGGTCCGTGCCTTCCTTCGCGAAGGTGACATCGTCCTGGCTGCTACGTTGACGGGGGGTGCCTCTGGGGTGCTGTCTACGTTGGAGCCTTCGCGAAGGCTCGGTCCCTGCTTCTGCAGTCTATATCGGTCTTCCATCATCGTCATAATTTGCTGCATCAGGTCATCAGGGATGGTCTGCGACGACGTCGTCTGAGCCTTCTCTGCGGTGTTAATGATGGGGTCCACAGCAATAACGTCTGACATCAGTGTAGAGGCATCAGGCTGCATGGAGATCTCTGCTGAAGTCACTGTCGCTGACACCGGTCGCTTCTTGTGCCGTATGTCGGGGATGATAATCGGCTGGTCATCGTAGAGGCCCATTTCTTCGGCTGGAACGATCTCGGCTGAGAAAGTTCTCGCTGTCTTCGTAGACTTTCCTTTGGATGTCGACGCTGCCCTGGGGGTACGAAGTCTGCGTTGAGAAGACGTCGAGGCCCTCTTGGACTTTAGCTGCGATGACGGGATGTCTGGGGAGGCGGTTAAGCTTCTTAGAGGTGACGGACTGTGTCCCACGCCCCTCTTCGATGGGGTCTCTAGCAGAACACCAGGCGGTAGGGGTCGATCGCCAGCAGCTGACTAGATGGAGTATCTGGAGTATCAGCCATATTTAGCCCTTGTTTGCGTGACCTATCTGCAGCACGTCTTAAGACGCAAAGATAATATTTATTAAATGCAGAATTAGATAAATTAATGCAATAACTGCAACGTGAATCAAAGCGCACACGCGTAGAACAACTAGGGCATATTACATGCGGATCTGAGGCAGAAAAGCGTAATCTACAAATAGTACAGATTTTCATCAGCGTAATACTAGCTGAACAATCGAATACACGTGAATAAACAGTAGAAATACGATAAATAATCAATACAAATTACTGAAGGATACTAGCTATACCTCTATAGTAAACTATAAGAGGTAATAAACTAAGAAATATCAAAGGATATGTTGTGTAAGTGTAAGGAGACACAGGCGCTCTCGCATCCTGCTCACTGGGCGAAGAAGGAGAGAGTGAAGCACGAGGTATAAGGTGGCGACACCTTTCCCGCCAGAGGGATTAAAGGGGAGCAACTCGTGGTGAGTACCAATTAGTGATTTTACATTGAAGGGAGCTTCAATTAAGGAGATACAAGTGTTTCCACTATGTTCGCAAGAAGAAGAAGACAAGCAAAAGAGCATGAGTCAGGATAAGGAAAAATAAAGATTTTCCCCATCTTTCAACCCTGAGTTCAATTACATTTGTGACGTCTTTCCATTGTCTGCTCGCTCCATTACCTTTCAGGAATGGAGCGATGTGTACCAGTTTCAAATTTAAGACTTCATTTTGTCATTTTGACATTTAATTTTGATAACAGAAATATTACCAATACTTTGAATGTACTTTAAGTAGGGTAATATCCTCGTAACTCTGCATTCCTTAAAAATAATGGGCCTCGCCATTACCCTCTACATAATTTCTGTGAAGGTTAATAATGACTTACTTCCACGTACTTCGAGAAAAGAGAGATTCAGGCCAGTGTCACATTGAAAACATATAGTGTTGAAGTATGAATTTGTGTGTGTATTTGTTAGGGCATGATCTAGTTTTGCTCAACATTTATTAAAACACAGAGAATGGTGAATGCAAAATAATTACCATGACTGAACAGTTGATATGTTCTAATCATCCATCATGATTGTAAAACCTATTCCCAGCACCATTATAACATCTTTGTACTTTGTTACGCATTGAAGGTCACATGCAACCAAAAAATCAAACATAACTACAACACAATTATCACTTATTCATGACATATAATATACATTGCTGGTTATGAAAAAATATATAAACAAAATTATAAGCGTACAATCGCAAATCAAAAGTGCAATATTGTGTACTTGGGTTTACTTCCCAAGAAACGAAGCAGCCGGGATACCGAACCCAGTCAGAGCGGGTGGGTGTGCACTCAAGTGTAACGGCTGGTTCATTTGCAGATGCCCTCATGGCTCATTGTGTGTGTATATAGAGATGTTGAGTTTTGTAAATACATGCTCATTTTTTGTGTATAACATTTTGCAATCAACAGACATCATAACATGTCATGTTTACAAGTATCACACCTGCCTGTCTGTGTAATTACATAATGTGACAGAGACCGAACTCGGGCCATAAATCAATGCATTTTGTTTATGGTGTATAGCCTGATTGGTGTTAAGTTCAAATTACATGTGGTCTGTGATTGCAGTTGTGTATTGAATATGGTCATTAGCAGACAGGCAGGCAGACACATAGGTGTCAATAAAACAGACATTGAGTTTTGTCTGTGACAACGACATATCTATATCACAGTTAGAAATTCTGTCAACGCTAAATAATGACATTGCTTTTAAGTATCGAACTGAGAAAGTGACTCGGTAAGAAGAACGTGTGGTGAAAGGACAAATGATATTATATAAACAGTTAAATCTACTGTCATAACATATACAAATCTCGCGCCTGTGAAATATCAACAAAACATTAGAAAAATAGCTCACACCAAAGCCTTCACCGAGTATTCACCGGACAACCCGCTTCCAAGCTGCGCGAACCTATTTCACTGCACACGTGCTATGAGGGCAGCCCAGCTGTTGAAACCACTTGAATTCCCCCAAGCGCTGGGGAAAAATTAGTGAATCGTTTGAACTACGATTTCGCGCGTTTTTTTTCATCGCGTTATTTTTCAACTTTATAAGTTGAATTTGCATTTTTGATGATTTGTTTCGGTAAGTCCATACCGAAAGGTATCAGAATCTGCAAAGTTGTGTTTTACGTTGCATGTGACCTTTAACATAAAGTTCTTGGAATCATCAAAGAGGGCTGTAGTCATGGTAACAACACACATTGCTGTGATTTGATACATTTTCATAACAGAGCGCAAAGTAAACAAGGTTTCAGTAATTCACTGAACTTAAATGCTAACATAAATATGTCATATAACGTTTTTGGTTTATTTAATGGCATTTTTTCCAGTGCTTCAAAAACAGATGTGAAAAAACTATATTAACCTCCAATACGCTATAGGTTAACTAGTTTCACCTCACATTAGTGACATACAGTCTGCAGCTTTATCCACTGGTCTGAAGCTTCAGTTAACTAAAACTTGTTATGGTTCTTATGGTCTAGTGGGATCAGCCAGTCCATATGTCAAGATTGGTACCTGCTGAAAATAATCCCAACTTACAAGATCAGGGTGTGTAAGTGGTCATGTTTAATTCCACATTCCATTAGTTAACATTGTAGAAATATTACAAACGTTTACAATGTTTGAAGAAACCAAATTAGTTTAACAATATTCCCTTGCCAAACCAAGTTATCATGTTACATCACACAACATACTGTACACATGCAGAGATTTGACGAGTGAAATGAGGTCTGTATTTGAACTACTTGTTACTGAGGTGTTTTAGGCCACTATCAGCTTCACCACAGCGCCCCATTAAAGACTATTAGCCACATGGAAATGATGAAACCCACAAACATGAATTTGGAGCTGACAAATCATAAATCACTCAAACACGAAGCAACATCCTGCATGATTAAAAATTAGTGCTGACATGTAAGTCATGTGACTGGCGATGGTTTACATACAATTTTACTATATAAATAGATGGGGCAGTGTGTTTAAACATGAATTTGCTTCGAAAATGCAATTCAAAGAAATATTTCCTTCTAGAAATAGGTAAGCTGTCAACCAGGATATTTAATCATGTTCTCAACAGGCTCTATATCACTCCCAACAACTGTTGAATTGTAGTATGCAAATGAATGATTGCCCCTATATTTTACGTCATTACTCTGAAATATTTGAGCAAGGACATGCACATGCACAATACTGGACTTATCTTAAACAACATGGAATATTGGAATATTTAGAAAAGGTTTTTACTGTTCACATTAGATCTAGAATTTATAGCTTAACCTGTTGATTTGAGTCACTTGTGGCGTATATTTTTGGCCGGGAATGTTTCATTGATTTTTCTACATGAGGAAAGTGAAACAAAACTATAGGTCGAATCATGTAGTGAACTTCTAATTGCCCCAACCGTTTATAACCCTGACCATCCTATTTCCACGTGCTATACATGTGCTTTTTGACATTGCGTCGTCTGCAACAAGACAGCTTCATTCAAGATCACTGACATTGTAGATACGACGGAGACATTAAAACGTAGTAAAAAAGATATTAGACCCAACAATATAATGATTTCTGGCCCCATGTGCTTTTTCTTAAACACAAATTCACAAAAATAACTTACAGTGGATGGCTTAGTACGGAAGAGCGACCGTAACACTTTGCCGGCCATTATGTTGACCTTGACGACCTTGGAAAGATTGTGACGTCATATCCTTTTGTTGAGTTCCGCCGATATTATACGTCCGCCTCTCCACATTCACATTGTGTGTGTGTGTGTGTGTGTGTGTGTGTGTGTGTGTGTGAGAGAGAGAGAGAGAGAGAGAGAGAGAGAGAGAGAGAGAGAGAGAGAGAGAGAGAGCTCTCCACATTCACATTGTGTGTGTGTGAGTGAGAGAGAGAGAGAGAGAGAGAGAGAGAGCTCTCCACAGAGTGTGAGAGAGAGAGAGAGAGAGAGAGAGAGAGAGAGAGAGAGAGAGAGAGAGAGAGAGAGAGAGACTTTGTTCCACTTTGTTATGGGGAGGTGTGGGGGGCATATATTTGGTACACCTGTAGGGGTGGGGGGTGTGCCAGCAATTTTGTACATAAGAGTATGAAATAATTATGCTTAAAAATTATGGGAAGGGGGAGCGGGGGAGGGGTGAGTGAGAGCTAACATACCACCTACTAATGATTACAGGTTACCTTCACCCCCATATGCAGAGGCATATATCTCTATATATGACTATAAATGTTACTCTGCATACAAATAGTTCTACAGTAGTGATGACTGTGCTTGGGTGGTGTTGATTTGTATTCTTAAATTGTTCTATTTACTCCCACAACTGTGTCAGACATTCACTTGCTGCATGTACAATGTCAATGGAACATATAATATTACTCCATTTGATTAGCATGTCATGCCCCAAATGAAGCGATGGTGTGCATACAACTCCGTCATACACATGTATGAATAAGGTTATGTATATTTTCAACTTAATAGTAGCAGATACATGGGCGGATCCAGGAATTTTGAAAATTCCAGGGGGTTCGTACCCCCTGAACGCCCCCATTTGCTCCGCCAACGCAAAACAAATCTTCAATGTGGTCTTAAGTCATTTTCAAAGGGGGATGGGGTGGGGTGGGGGTGGGGGTTGGAAACCCATGAACCTCCCCTCTGCATCCGTCAATGAGTAGTAAGTTACTAAGGTAATTCACATGTCTCAAAGATTGTCTGCTTTAAAAATATATATTTAAAGCGATAACTGAACAGTTAGCAACTTACAAATCACCTGATTTGCTCTCACGCACACGTACACGCACACTTACAAACAAAAAATAAGACTTGGACTAAAGGAGTATGTTAACAGGCGAGCACATGCAGATCCAACTAGCCTCGTCAGGCCATACAAGGGAGATAATCATGACGCTTCATACACTGAAAATGAACTTCCACCTTCTACTTCACGAAACTTCAGGGGATAGAGTTTGGGACAGACATTCTGAGTGAGAGAGAGAAAACAACCACAACGGTTATATAATAACATTTGTGATAATTACAGCTAACATTTAAAGTATACAATGCACGAAACGATGAGAACAAATGATAAAATGGGACACGGCATGGACGTCGTATTTCTTGAAGTGCCGTAAAATTCATACTACGTAAGGCACGAGTTATCTCCCCTGCGCCCTTCCGTTGCAAGTTGCCACACAGCCAGAACGATTGTTTGGAGGGGTGATATTTCGATTCTTTACACCAAAGTATTCATCATAAGACAATATATTGTACTGCAGACATGACAGAGTCATAGAACTGAGATGTAGACTAGTTTGAGTTAAACATCTGGTAAAACTGCCAGTGAGCAATAACTGCAGTAGCCCATAGGACTTGTAGGTGCTCCTATCCATTCGACATTTAGAATCACGTACTGCATTCCTGGGCAATTTTAGCAGGCTCATTTCTCAATCCGTACGTATTGTAATGAGAAAGAAAAACATAACCAACATGTGAAGTTTGCGGTTTTGCCACTTTCATATGTTTCAGAAATGTCACGGCAGAGTGGAACCCGACGTATTGTACATCCTAGCCTGGCAAGAAACGTTGTAACCAATAAGTGAGTGAGTTTAGTTTTACGCCGCTATTCCAGCTATATGGCTGTTATATGTAAATAATCGAGTCTGGACCAGGCAATCCAGTGATCAACAGCATGAGCATCGATTGGGATACGATGACATGTATCAACCAAGTCAGCGAGCTTGACCACCCAATCTCGTTAGTCGCCTCTTACGACAAGCATGGGTTACTGAAGATCAATTCTAAGAATCGGCTACTGACACTACTGTAGGTGTCTATGAAGTGTTAATCCAAGAGTGAGTGAGTGCGTGAGTTGGTGAGTAAGGTTGTAGCAATGCCTTCAGCAATATTCCAGCAATTTCACTGTAGGGGACACCGGAAAACGACATAACACACTGTACCCATGTGGGAAATCGAAGTCGGGTCTTCGTCGTGACACTTTTGACCACTAGGCTACCCTACTGCACCCACGTATCCCAAATGTGGCTTGGCTGTGGCTTTCGCTGAAACGTCGGACTAGTGTGCCAACATCTCACTATGCTCGTATGCCAGTAAGCCAATATGCCAATATGTTAATATGCATGCGTAGTGTGAAAGTGTAGGATAATGATGTCAATTATATTGACCCCTCAGTCGCAGAAGTCCTTGTCAATGCCATGGTAACATCTCGGCTAGACTACTGCAATAGCCTTCTGCATGGGATCCAACAAAACCAGCTTGACAAGTTACAGGTGCCCAGAATACTGCAGCCAGGCTTTTGACACGTGTCAAAATATAAACACATAACACCAGTTCTAAAGAGGCTCCATTGGCTACCTATCAATTACAAGCTCCCGACCTTTGTCTTCAGGTCACTGCAGCAAACGGTTCCAGTATCTTCAACCTCTAATTGCTTTTCCCCAAAAGATGTCTCCGTTCAGCTCATCTTATGCAGCTCGATGTTCCAAAAACAACAAAAACATTTGGTGATAGAGCTTTTGAGAAAGCAGGGCCAGTTCTGTGGAACTCTCTCAGGAGCTGTACCACACTCAGTTTCTTCCAGCAACAAAATCAAAACGCATCTCTTTACAAAGGCCTACCAGTGATCAGCGCTCTTGAGTAATCTTTCTTGGAAACGTGCGCTATACAAATGACTAGTTTATTTATTATTTATTTAATACGAGGAACCAGTAGCAATGACTGAAGTCGTCATGAAGACTTTAAAGAGACCCCTGTGAAACACTTTAATCCGTGCTCGGGTAACATCTGGCTTCGCCTGCTCCAAACACGACTCTTCCCCCAGCTCTCGCTCTCTCGCTAATTTACACTGGCTCAAACTAAAGCACGCCTGATCTTTATTTTGTGTCTTCACCTTGAAAGACCTCTGAGTTCAGAAGACCCTCTAATAAAATATGTTTCTTGCACAGTAGGCCTGGTCTCTGCGCATAGACTATACATACATCGCAAGTAGCCTTTCATCAGCCAACGCCTCATCAAATACAGTGCCGAATAATTGCTGAACAGAACCTATTCAGTCTGGACATAAATACTGGAATGCTGTAGAGATGTTACACACAATGACCAAAACAAATGTTGACTGTCTGCATTTTATATGCTTTTAAAATACAGTGAGATACGAAAATTTAGCGTAATTCCTTCTACAAATACATTGTCGCTTTTAAGGTTAGGTCGCTAAAAAGTCTTTTAAACAAGTTCAAATACCAAGCCAAGATGGGTAAATATAATGATGAATTCTCTAAGCGCACACATAATTTCATCTATTCAAAAGTTGATTCAGTTTTGTTTAATTATCTCAAAGCAAAAATGAAATACATCCAAGATTGATTGCTTAGCCAAAGTTACGCTTGAAACATTTTTACTGAACGTTTGCCAAATAAGGCGATGTACTTTAAGTGTGTTTCATCACACCGGAGAATCTGAAATTGTTAAAACAATAATATTGGCTTAAGTTAATTCCCAGCATATAAGTTCAGGACGATCACGTGTGACTGGGTGCAAGTGTACAAGTCGGGCTTCTATCTATATTGAAAGATACATAATGAAATTATTTTCTAAATGTCCCCGTACTACCACTGTCCCAATCCATCCCGTTAGACATTTGCATAACAGCTAAGCTTCAAGTACTAACAAAATAGATTCTGTTTTACTCAAATAAACTTCTAAAGAGCCTGTGTTTGATCCTTTTGGGACACCAGTTAAACTGTGGGTTTTATTTACCTGACCACTGTCAAATTGGCACCTTAACGCGAACAGATGCAAGGAATTAAGGAGTGGACGTGGATCACGTTGAGGTAATTAAGAAGACAAAGTATTGTAAACGGACTTAATAAAAAGTGCAGCAGCCACACGAATTGAAAAAGTAGCATTTGTGTGGAATGCTCATTGCAACAGTTTTAGATATACCAGTTTGAAAATTCCATACAGAGGTTATCATTTTGTCATAATCATTTATCTTTGCCTTATGTGCACTCACAAATATATGTATCAGAACATAAAAATAATTAACACTTCCTATGTTTAAACATTGATTCAGACTGGTTTTGATTAAGGCAACATATGCAATCATCATGGTAAAGCCTCGATAGTTGAGACCTCTTTGACAAATACCCACACTTGCAATAGTGATGCCGCTTTATGCTTTTACTTACACAAATATAAAATAATTACAATTAGTTTAAATTCGTGATTCATAGATATGCATTCTTGGAGAATTATTTTTTTCAGAAGTGTGTTACGGAACGCCTCAAAATGATCTCAAAGTAACAAATAAACGGTTCATAAAATAACCTTGAAGCGTTATAGCGTCATAGATTTCATCAATTGGGCACGACCCCAGGTACTGAAGTCTGTTGTACGTAGATCAGATCTACAAACCCTCTCACAGGCATACTCTGGGGAAAAACTAACCATGCAAAGTGAAGGTGCTACTTAAACGTGGCCATTTTCTGAAAATCGCTTGAATGGCTCTTTTAGTATGGCTGGTTTGAATTACACAAAAGACGAAAAAGGAATGGAAAACAACCAGATTAACATTACAAGTAAAAATGGAAATGTGGGACGAGATATGCGTAAATTAAACAGATCTGAGATGAGCTACATTGCATCAAATACTCTGTGTTATTTTGGCACGACACTTACATGATCAAAAGCAATATTCTCAGTAATGAAGAGTTTCGCACCTGGTCGGCAACATCAAAGAC